TATAAATTACGTTATTGCATAATGATTTGAATATTCATGAAAATTGCAATTAATATCGGATTATTTACATATTTAGCAGCAGCTTATATATCACATCGCTACACGTTGTGTTTCAGGTGATCTTGTTGGCGACAAGTCACTGCACATCTAGGACGATTTATCGCTAATAAATCATTCTATTTCTCAACATTATACGCAATTTATCCATATATCGCTAAATCTACCGTAAGGGTTGTTTATTTCACAACGCACAAGTATAGGCACCTGTGTCCTCCCTGTGTCATTCATTATTGTAAACTCACACAGACAGGTACGTTTGTTCGCATGACCTTTCAAAACAGTATAATGCACCGCCATCTTTGAACGCTGTTCAACACTTTTTTTTCCATTTCTTTAAACATGGAGTTATCACGTGACCCGGTTGTAGGTGGCTCATTTAAAACCATGAATTCCAATTTGTAATCATGATTAAAACCGGCCACGGTATGTAGAAAGTTGTTGTTCCGGATGTTGAACTCAATTATGAATTCAATCCACCATTATGGATCACTTTTATTACAATCTGGAAATCACTAAAATAAACTCTCATTTTGACATTCGTGATCGATGTCTATCGACTCCTCACATGATTGTGAAAATACGGAATGAGGGCACATTTTGAGAGGGCCTTTTCTGCATTTCGTTGTTTGTTTCATTATACGTGAAGGAAACCTTATAGACAGGTTGTCTTATCGATTGTTAGATATCATTGTCGACTCATTACATGAAGCTAATGGTTTAATTTGCATCATGTGTGCGCAAAAAGACAAAAAAACGTTCCTAAGCTGCACATCGTAGGAAAACAATAAAACTGAATGATTTAGATGTTCCAATGTATAAGTGTAAAACATATAGAACCACTAACTAACAAAACGTTTACGCCGAAAAACTGCTACATTTATCTTTTTATCGTCAAGACAACGTTCGTCTCTTTTCGTCAAATGTCATTTTTTTCAAAAACTAAACCTGAATAATTAATATTTAAACAAATGTTGTTAAAATTTGCGTCCATTAGAAAATGATGCCCACTTGAACCCAAATTAACAATAACATTATTATCGAAAAATGTGAAAAAAACGGCACTCCACTATTTCACCCGAATAATTACTGTTTGTGCAAGCTGTGTGTGATTATGTGATTTAATTGTGCATTATTTGCACTGTAGTGCCATAGAAACGAGTCAGGCTCGCGATAGTCAATTTTATTATATTTATGTACAGTTAATTCGCTGCCTCAAGGTTTGTATTAATATAAAATCCATTAAATGTCAGATATACAATAGATGATAAAAAGGTCGCGACCATTTGTGGTTTTTCTGAAGTTCAAATGACCAAACCACTCGAGATGCGCGTGCTGGCAAGCTCTAAATTTCATTTCATTATACGACATTGCTTTTTCTATATCATGTGTTTTCTTAAATTGGGACTTGATTTATAGGTAAATTTTATCGAACGTGCTGCATTACCCTACTAATATGATAGACAGTGACGAATTTAGAAATGACAGATGTTATTTTATTAAAATAATAACAAAATGTAAAAGGTTGTATGCATTCTTTTATTTCGAAATAAGATCGAATGTCACATAGCATTGACGGCAATCGTAAAGAGCAACATTCATCTATCTAAAAATATGTTCACCGAGTAGTGTGGGTTTTATTTTTTATTAGTAGCTCTCTCTCTATATATATATATATATTCGCATATTCCGGTAATCGGCGAAGTCTTAAAACAACCAATGTATGTATTGCGTACAAATCAAGCAACAACACAACAGCGAATGCGATATCATGTTGCTAATGGAAACGTCTGAAATATAATATCCAGCAACTCACCGCCGATCGATGCCGAAGGTTATGCGGTGTTATTTTCAACATGCTTTTGGGAGAAAAAAAAATGACTGTTTTCTTAATATCGTGGAGTATGATTAAGTGTTTGTAGCCGGTTATATTGATTCCACAATTGACTTCCGAAATAAACGAACCATGGACTAAAAACCTATGTCGTTTGATTCAATATATAGTACACATAGAAGAGACTACTGCAGTTAATAGCGTTCGTGGGCACCGCATTTCATCATTCCAGCGCATTTTTTGTTACATCAATCACACAATTCTAAAAAAACATGAACAGCAGCAACATATTAATTTGCCGCACAGGGGCACAGTTGCTCATCAGTGATGAAACAGCTGCCAGTTTGTGGCGCCAAGTCCATGACAGAAGGCGCTGTACACGATAGAAGAAGACGCCGTCAGATAATTAATGACTGAATTTTTTTTTTATCAGAAACTATGTTACTATTGATACTTTCCGTCTGAAATATTTATATCCCATGATACCTTGCGACGTTACGTATTCTCTCCGAGACGTCGTCGGTGGCGGAAATTTCCAAGCTAGATCGTTTGATTTTATATGATTTAAACATGGTCATTTGAGCCAAGAATCAATTTGTTTAATATCTAAAATATGTTTTTACACCCCGGTGTTTAATTCAAATAACTAATCTCAAATATTCACCATCACAATACAATTGGAAATTGGTTATCTTCTTTTCTCACTGCTGTGTGCAGGATATAACGTTGATAGAAGATATTTTATTCAGGAACATGCCTTTAATGACGTTAAACGTTGTATCTCCCGGGAATGCCATCTATTCAGACGCTGATCTGGGTCATACTGAATACAATTGTCCCATTCATTGTCACCACAAAGCTAAAATTTCCCCCTAAAACATAACAATTTAAATCATTCAATCTCTGTTATTAAATAAAAAATACTGAATCGGTACGGTGCTTCAATGATGGGGTTCAGAAACCCCGAGGCTATACCATCAGTGCTTTCTAAATATAACGTCTATTTACTCGAACCTGTTAACACGTTTCCTCTAACTAAAGCGCCTGCTGCATCTTGGGAGACGGTCTCTTGCTACAAAACCGAACAACTCGTAGAGGGCAGGCTGTATCTGACGTTAACATCATTGCTCGCTGCCGCATACCACGTGTGATCACTACGTAGTACAGTAAACTGCGCAAAAAACATAGAAGTGATAATAATCACGTGGTCATTATATATTATAACATATAGACTGCATTTTATATTGTCTCTCCAGTTCCTAAATCAAATTTCAAAGAATTAATACCATTTTGAAGGAAATTATGATCTTACAGCGTAATATTTTTGCCGCATCCGGTCATTCCGATTGTAATGTTAAACTGCTAACGTGGAGGCATAATATTAGGCAGAACTGTAATTATAAATTTTATTTCGAGACATATTTACGCTATAAAATATAACGATTTTTTACATTGGCTAATGGATTGATGAATTTTATTCCTAGCACGGAATTTAAAGTTGTATTTTGTAATTCAAAGCTATAAATTATTTTAGTGAGCAGTATTATCAGAAGTAAAATGCCTGTTTAGCTGTTTTATTGAAACAGCGTCGTCTTTTAGAAAAACGTGTTTGTGTATATGATATGATATATGTTCGAAAAATTATTTTTCATGGCAACATTAACAATTAGTAATTCCAACAACGATCAATCGTAATATTATAATTTGTATATGCTGAAAGAGGTTTGTTGATGCATGACTGTAAATGTGCCCTCATTGCATCATCGACAGTGTGTACATTTGTTTTTGTATCCCCGCTGGTATACTAGTCATCAACCGTGAAACTTTTCACATCGAGAATTAAACATATTATCGAACAGCATTGCTTGGAACGTTTAAAGACAATCCGATGGGACTGCGCACGCCAATGCAATCTACTTCGTTCTGTTCGCTATTCACCTGGGCGTACGAGCCTATTTCGCGCCATCCTTCCTGTAGTGCAGGAAAGGACTCCCAATCACCCAAGGACAGCCTTTCCATTAAATTTGCAGTTATTCTAGATAATACATTTGCTTACCGTATATCGTGCCAGAAGTGGACATTGCTTGAAACAGTCAGTGATTACAGTTTTGCTGGTATTTGTAACACTGGTAGAATATGAATCTATACCTTTCGAAGCGTGACTTAACATCGTAGTTCTCCAAATAACGAAGCTGAATTTGTTTCACCAATCGTGCGTGTGTGTGTGTGTGGGGGGGGGGGGGGGGGCTGGCAAAGTCTGAATGATTTTCATAGTGTCAATTTCCAGTGAACTCGGAGTAGCTGTTAGCGCACACTTACAAGCCATATCATAAATTATACGAAATACACCGACACACATATACGTATACCTCACAAATGCAGTACATGTACCTTTCGCGTATAAACTATTGATGGCGTTTATTAAAATAACAGCGAATTCCCAGCATTTCCGTACTGGATCCTGCGTATAGTATATCATATTTAATAAATCAAGAGACAAAATAATTAATGGTTTTGGGCTCAGCTGGCTGTTGCAATGAATGCTTTTAGTCGAGTGTTTTTTTTTTGTTTTTTTCACCTGATGTGAATAACAGTAGCTGATTCAAATGGAAAGGTGAATTTATATCTTTTATAAAATAGCAATATGGCGACCAGTTAATATACGAACGTCATATCCGGAAATTTGTCGAGAATGGCTTCCGTCGAAAATGGTGTTCAATATAGTTTCCAGTGACATGATGTACGGTTTAGACTAGATTGCGGAACACTATAGGTGCGCATGCGCACACCGCACCGTTGTAACGATGAACGGTGATGTGGAATTTTATTACACAATAGTGCAGTGTATCCTGATTAAATTCGTTTGCGGCCAATCAAAGAAACAGTATATAAAACAAAATAACCTCAGAAAATATAGAAAAAGTAGCATTCTTGTAATGCGCTGCCATGGCAACTGTCTCATACGCTCGTATACCTTCTACCAGCTAGTTGATCGAGAATCAGGTTGGTTGTAAAAGATATCGTAACTTCTCCGTGGCGCTATGTAACCATTTACGCTCAATTACGAGTATGCGCTAGTTAATGCCGATGTTTTATTTCATTATTATAGGTCTATGTTATGCTGAATTTGGTGCCAGGATACCGAAAACTGGGTCAGCCTACACCTACTGTTACATTAGTGTGGGTGAACTGTGGGCGTTTGTCATAGGCTGGAACATGATTCTGGAAAACATGATCGGAGCTGCGTCAGTTGGGAAGGCTTGGAGCCAGTATTTCGACGCCATCTTGAACAGCACCATCAGCGACGCGTTACGAAACAACGTCGGTGAATTCGACGTCCCCTGGCTTGGAGAATATCCCGACTTCTTTGCTTTCGCTCTTCTAATTGTGGTGACAGCAGTGAACGCCATTGGGGTCAAGATGTCGTCTGTTGTTACCAGCGTTCTGACCGTAGTAAACTTAATCGTCATAGCGTTCATCATTGGCGCCGGTTGTTTCTACGTCGATGGTAGTAACTGGACAAGCGGAAAAGGCTTCTTTCCCTACGGAGCATCAGGCGTAAGTGAACTAACTATAATATATGGCAATTATGTTAATTTTTGCTTGACTTGCACGCTGATTAGGCACTTGATAAAATGAAATTCATTTGATGAAATACAGATTATGTGCGCATGGGCTTTGAATACATTGTACGTACCATTACAGAGGCGACATTCGATGCCGCATGTATGTATCTTGAAAAAAAAAACATACAAATTGTGATCATTTTCGATTTTTAAATGTAATAGATACCACTTTTTTCACAATATATCAACCAAAGCCATATATATTCGCAGGTATTATCAGGTGCTGCCACATGCTTCTATGCGTTCGTAGGATTCGACATCATCGCCACGTCTGGTGAAGAGACCCGCAACCCCGGCCGCACCATTCCAATTGCTATACTGTTCACCCTTCTGGTGTGCTTTCTTGCTTATTTCGGTGTTTCTGCGATCATCACCTTAATGGAGCCTTATTACAAATTGACTGGAGCCGCGCCGTTGGCGGAGGTGTTCGCCCAACGTGGTCTACCTGCTGCTAAATATATTATTGCCGTGGGGGCAATGTGCGGACTTACTGCTTCCATGATGGGCTCGATTTTTCCTCTGCCACGTGTCATTTTCGCGATGGCCAGAGACGGTTTACTATTTGCGTTTCTGGGAATCATAAACACGGCCACCAAGACTCCCGTATACGCCACTCTGATAGCGGGCTTCCTGACAGCTATCCTGGCTATGCTGTTAGACCTTCAACAGCTCGTTGAGATGATGTCAATTGGAACGCTGATGGCGTACGCGTTAGTCGCGATCTGCGTTCTCGTGCTTCGATATCAGCCTGGGCACTTAGGGATGGACAAAGAAGAAAACAAAGATTTTGCTTTTCAGCAGAGTATTGGAGAGAAAACAGAACTCATGCAATCGAAAAGTGACCAGTCAATGACAAAGTATATGGATCACAGTGACAAGAGCGGAATGAAACGTTTCTCGTCAGCTGACGCTATCCACGCCAGCGACGGTCGCACTGAGTCTACTTTTACCACTGACGGTGACACAAAGACGCAACTAGTCATAAACGAAGTGACTGAACACCCACCAGAAAAAGACAGCGATAAAAAGGCAAAACCAGAACCCTCGTTAAAATCCCACCGTATAGCAGTTTGGAGTATCATAATCGCTGTTATATTACTCATCGCTTTGTGTGCTCATATTATTTTTGCAACGGACTATATTGTTGCGCATAATTGGTGGGCCATTCTACTTACATGCGTGATTGGGGCTGCGCTATGTTGCTTCGTTGTGCTGATCGCAATGCAGCCTCAGAATGCCATGATACTTTCGTTTAAAGTGCCATTTGTTCCGTTCATCCCAGTATTATCCATATTTATCAACGTCTATCTCATGTTAAAACTATCTGTGGCGACATGGATACGATTCGCCGTATGGATGGTGATAGGTGAGTAACACTAGTATCTGAAAAATATTAGTACATACTAAGTATTTCCTGACGTAGAGGGCGTTTTCATTGAATGCAATATGATGTTTATCGGCGTAGAGGGCGTTTTGGGAAGCAATATACTATAGACAATAAACAGCAAAGCTTAGCGACACCAGAACCTTCGCACAGACTGCCAGTGGTAATAAATAAAATTAAAATACCAAGAATTTATTCACTTTGCAATAATATGTACTTCGTGTTAATATAAGGGTTATTTGGTTTTAAAAAACTGATAGTTTGATTTTCATTTTGTCAGTATGGTACCGCTTTTACTATTGCTCTCTATGGCGGAGATGTTATCCCAAAATTGTTGCCCAGTGACATGGGCTGACCATGAACTTTGGGATGTCCTGAATTATTCCAAAAATCTTGGTTTTGTGTCCGAAAAGATTACATTTTTGTTCCTGAAACTGTATTTAACATCGATGCAAATAATTGATCAAACACATATCATCACTTCGTCACAGTCACCAGTTCCTGCTTTTGGATAATATGTAAACAAATAAATGTATTTAGTTTACACTTGTTGTTTACGTCGCATGGGTCCCATACTTGTAAATCGAACACAGCGCGTTATGACAACTTATAATGTTTGAATTAATCAAATAATGTCTCATCTTTTCTTTCGATTTATATACAGGTTTAGCAATCTACCTGTTCTATGGTCTAAAACACAGTTCGGAAAATGATGTTCTGGCGCCATCTGTGAGCTCCGATATACTTTTACAAGGGGAGGCCAAACTGCAAGACGCGGCAACTGTTGATGAAGACAATGATGGTGTAAAAAAGGAGAAATAATTATTTTTTTATTTGAAAGAAAGTATAAAAGTCGATTTACAAAACGACCCCATCCTCGATCGCAGAGTGTAGATTTAACTGTGAAGTTACGTGTTTTGTGGGCTGTTGTAGGATTCTAATTGTATAATTTCGTTACTTATAATTATGTCATTTACCGTTACTCGGTAACGATCAGCAACTGGTTATGTGATAAGCGAGAAGTCCCCCTAAGTGAGGAATGCAAATTCATCAATACATTTTGCGAAAAGAGTATACCCTTCTAGAGTTTTCTGCGTAGAGTGTATCCACATTCAGAAGGCTATTCAGAAAAACTTATACCAAAAACAACCTTTGGCGGCATATGTATATGTTAGCTGTAATATTCCTCCCATGACGGCCATCGACTCAGAGTTTAGAGTTAAGGGGGGGGGGGGGTATATGTCATGTTTTACCTACTATCTGATTGTCTCCCGTATATTGAAGCATTTCCAGGTAGTTAGTTCGACATATTAGCTTCATAATCTTAGTTCTATTGAACGTTTTCTCCCGCCTCGTTCTTTTGTGTTCCTGAACAATGGCAATCCTCTCTGCTGAGTACTGAATATCGTAACGTATCGAGTTTTCTATGTAGCATAGGCGCATATCTTTCATTCATGGTAGTATTGATGACTTGTTATATTATAAAGTTGTTCTACTTATCATACTTCCACAGATCGTTCATTATCTGAACCTGATGACAACACTGATAACAACATTTGTGTTTTTACGTCTCGATTACGCATGCGCACATACTACTTAATCATGCTTACGACGAATACGAAACTGAAATAAGCACTGACATTACATATCATTTATTTTTATAAATACATTTACAAATATTATATATCCTCGAGACAACTTTACTGATTATTGTGTACTATTCAATATAATTCAAGTATTATTATTATATTATCGGTTAAATTTAGAAGTTGTCTACATACTATCAATATAAATCACGTGGTTAAGCTGGTACTTAGTGAGCAACTGAAACAGACAACTACCACGTAACAATATTAAATAACAGACGTATAAATAGCATCGCAAGACCGGTGGGTATTTTCAACCTAGTTCCGTAACCGTAACATTATCTCAGCGATGAATCAAAGGTTCGAGATGAACACGAAAATGAAACTATTCCTTGTGAATATGAGAAGTGTTCATGGTGACGAATTCGCTTGGTTATTCGGGAGAATTGATTATCCCTCAACTTGAAGATGATAAATAGTAGCGTATTGTATGGACATTATGGTTATTTCTCACAGCATGGTCATACCATACACCGTGATATATCTCACGTGTTATATCACACAACATGGTATATCATACATTGTGGTATATCACACAACGTCACGGTGGTATATCAGACACCGTGTTATGTCACATACCGTGGTATATCACTCAACGTGGTATATCACACATTATGGTATAACACATACCGTGGTATATCACACAAACTGGTATATCACAAAACGTGGGCATATTCATACAACATGGTATATCGTACATTATAGTCATATCACACAGCGTGGAGTACCCTGCAACATCGTTGTATCGCATAACGCTGTGTATCATGTAAAAGTACTATGGGTATCACACATTGCGTGGCGTTGATCTTCACATAGCGTGCGCCCAGAAAACAACTGATTTTCCACAGTGTCGTTTATAATTACTTCCTCTTGATGTGAAATTAATTAAATAGAATTATATTGTAATTATATATTTATTGTATATTATATTTAACTGTTCACAGAATTTATTAGATAGGAACTAAACCGTTTACTCTTAGACATTATGGTGAAGTAATACAAATGAGATAATTTAACCCATCAAGTGTGAAGGAAGCTTAAGGGGTAGGGGTAGAAGTGTCTGTATTCACTGCACTTCACGACCAGATCAAAACATGCATTATAGGAGTGTTATAGGTTGTGGAAAAATTCACTGCTTATCAACATAAACTCGCACATGCATGGCGAGACGATCACCACTCTTTAGGTTGCGTACAAAACCTACCCCATCGTCTGTAAATCTGGAATTTTGTGTTGCAATACTTATTATTCATGATGTTTTCTATGTATGTAGCTAGTACGTGTATTTGAATCTAAAGTTCTGTTGGTATTTATTGGTTTCTCTCGTCTCGTGACAGTGAATGTGGAAAGGAATACTATCGAAATAAGTACCGTACAATCCCAATCTAATTTCGCTCTATGAGCAGGGATCAGAAGCATCTCGCTTCACGCACCTATATTAATGTACAATGTTACATATGGCGGGGATGGGAGGGGGTATACACGTTTACTCATTCTTTGTTGGGCTAGATAATCCCTTTCTAAAACGGAAGTCACTCCATACTACGAGACTGTGATGCATTGTGGCAAACCATGAGAAGGTTCATTCAATTTGTGGTACAGTAATGTATATTCTATTGTGTATATTTCGTTGTATTGTATAGAACGTTACGTGAATACATAATATACATTTGTAGTTCAATAAATTACTTTGCATCACATCTATTTGGTCTGTATGTTAATGATGACTCAGAAAAGAACACAATACCTCATGTCAGTCAACCAACAGGATGACGTTGCTACCCGGCCACATTTGCATATTTGACATATTTACATACAATTTGATGTAGGTATAGGCTTCGATTTTTTTTTTCGATTTCTATATATAATTTATTCTTGTTTATTGTTTTGTATTACTAGCAGTGCTTTCCTTTTAGATATATCTTGTCGCACAGCCTCGCTCCCATCGCAAAATTCCGAGTTTGTGACAAGAAACCGATTTTCATTTACAAAAAAATCACCCTAGTTGAGTTCATGCAAAATTTCTTTGCTGGAATTTAAACTATTAAACTATCGAACAATTGATTACAGAATCGATCAAAAAGAGCTGATAATCTCCCTGAAAACAGTATAACAATTCTGTTTTGGCCAATACTTGCTGGTGTCTTGCGTTTTGGAATTGATAACAGGAAAATATATGCCTAATTCAAAGTAATGTTCCCATGATACATTTCATGTTCTTCATTTGACAGCAGCGGTAGAATTAAACACGTGGTATAATATGTTTTCAATCCAGAGAATATATCTGGTCGTGACTGTTTTAAAGAGCCGTTTCATGACTTTGTTTCATGGGGAAATGTTTATTAAATTGATTTGAATCCATGATCATTGACAGATAGGCTATGAGTTTCTTGGGGAAAACCTTTCTAATTTTACGTTGTTATTCTTAATTTTGACTCATTGTTCTGTGAGAAATATTAGGCAAATATATTTACAGTGTTACAATGTTGCAAGCGAACTATTTACAAATAAAGAATCTTGGCACTCAGACAAAACTACCAAAAAATCAAAAGCACACTTTAAGAAGAAACCCCAAATATAGATCAGGCGCTAGAATTAAAACAGAAATTATCCCCGCCCTGCAGCTGTTTTCATTGAATTTGTTCCTATGTCAAATGAGTCTCTTACGATTTACATAAAAAGAGAACTTGCTGCTGCTGCCGCAAAAAAAACTATCAGAATATGTTAAGAGTGATTTGACCTTATTTCTCTGATTTGTAAATTTTTCAATATTTGGTTTTACCATACAAAATAACAACTAATACGAAGTCCAGACCATTATAATTTAAACTAGTTCACAAAATCATGTTCACCATTCACGAGTTATTTGAGATGAGACCACCGAAGTTAGAAAACCAAACCTGTTCACTCAGTTACAATAAATATACTCGAGACTGTTTTTGTTCATTCATCATGTGTTCAAAAACGTTTTAGTGATCAGCAATTGTCTTTGTCTAGGCATTTTGATGTTGACAACTTATCTATTACTTTTAGCTAAACAGTACGAACTCTAATCTGTATAGTACTACACTTGAATGCCTTCAAGCATCCAGTTGATCGTCACGGCGCACACGAGACGGAAGCACGTCACAAAGTAATAATGAAGTAGACTTTTTTCTGACTGCTAAGTGAATATTGAGCTTCGAATATTGCTATCTCAAATTCTCTCGCGTCTGTCAGATGAGGTAAAGATCACGTGATTTTCAAACTTTCACATTTGGTGTTTCTTGTTTTGCTAGAAACAGATTGAGAAAATCCAAGCACGGTAACAATAGTTCATAATCATGCTGTTAAGTCTGTCATTCTTTGAATTTTATGAAATATGGTATAAATTACATTAATAAAATGTGCTGTTTTGCTCGATAGTTATTTTTTCTCATAATGCAAGTCGCAAACGGAACGACGAAATGAAGAATTAGTTAAAGCGAGGGAGTCGTCACCTGCGCATGCATCAGATGGCCATATCCATGACCCTTTGCATTTTTAGCGTGTTTTGTTATCGTCGCTTGGGACTCAATTCCCGCACGTGCGCAGGGGACGATCCTCCCGCTTTAAATAAAATGAGTAGACAGTCACAACAATTGAAGTTAAAGAACATACATTTAATTATTTCTATTAATTATCGTGAATATTGCATTTTCTGATATTTGTTGTTATCATTGCAGTCTCTAAAAGTCACTAATCAGAATTACAACCAGTGCTATCAGTAAAACAACAACGAAAAGCGTGAACACTTCATAACGAAGACACGACGAAGACGAAACTGACACTTTCTCTCCGTACTTAAGGTCTCTGTGAAACAGTGGAGCTGGAACTAAAGACGACACGACAGGCCACGAGACTTGGTCGATGACACCGCTATTTTTAGAACTAGCGAAAACCATGTATATACTGTACTGGAATAAGTACCAGACTTCGCTTTCAACAGGCGCCAGGAATGTATGTGGATTGACAGTCGGTGTCAAGACACCCTGGCCAAGAAGCCCGTAGGAGTAGTATAGTTTCTCGTCACCTTCTTTCAGGTATATCGTGACGTTGCCAAATGCATTATTTCCGTACTCTCCTGTGTACTCGACTAAAGAAAGAGTTGACTCAGTTGCGATCGCTATGTCGACGCCCTCGTCGGTGATCAGAGGAGATTCGGGATGGTCAGCATTTGAAGTCGTTGGTATCCATGGTGATGGATATGTACACGCCGTATCATTTGTCAACCATGGTGTTTTATCCAGATACAAGTCAGTGATATAGTCGTGAATGAGATTAATACGCAGCATAGCGTTAATGGTATGTGGGCCGTTAATAGCTGTGAATATTCCAAGTCCGATGGTTGGTTCCAGACTTACGGCTGTGTTGAATCCTGACAGCCATCCGTTGTGGTAATCTCTGTATATATCTAATAGTTATTAAGAAACAATTTAGTATTCTTAGTGATATACATTCACAAATTCTCTGTCGACTGTTTTCGTAACGACAGAAAATATTCCCATACGTCGATTGATCAGAATTAGTAAATGGCCCATATTATCTGCACTCTTTTATATCACAAATATTACAGATCCAAACTGGAACCAAGTCAAGTTGGGCATCATTTGCGAAAGCGTTAATATGAATGTAATACATTCATATAGAATGAAAGTCATAAAGCTGGTGTTGTTAGAAACGTTTCATAAAATCCAATTTGACCAAATGGAATTGTGACATTATCAGGAGTTCTAATTAAGATCAATGAGATAGCTAAACATTATCCAATCAGCAACTGCCTTATTTTTAATAAATGGATGGTCACAGTTACTGTGTTACCACAGGAAGGGAGGTACGCGTATAATGGGCGTAGACTATGTTCAGCTTTTGAGCCAATGACGTTTAAATATTTCAATTCGAATGAAACCTGGTGATCGGAATTTGTATTTTGTTAATAAATACGTTTATAAGCAAATCTCCAGTTATTCACTGATGTGGTCCGTTGTTAAGTTAATCTGACTCTTATCAACTGTTTTTTTTTTCTATAACAGTATATTTTCTTGTATGAACATTGTACACAACTTGAATGCCAATTTTAATTTCGTTTTTAAGCGACAACAAAATAAAGTCGTATTACGTAGTGTGTCAGTAAGGATTTTGGTGTATACCCTCGAATGGCAGTATTTACACGCAATTATTGCGAAGCACGCTGTGACGTCTGTGTTTGTGCATTTGTACATTCTGACCAAATAGTTCGCAATAGTGTACAATTTCAATGTACCACGGTATCATTGGTAATGTGTTTTTGCGTATCTGTTAATCGACTTAATTAGCTGATTATTAGCTGAATGGCTGTGTTATGTCTGTCATCGTTTAGGCCTATTTGAAGTTTTGGACGGAACTTGGCTCAGTGATTTGGAACTAATTACGAGATAACCGTCGCTATTCTGACTACGATTTCTGACAGTTGGTATCCGTAGTTATTAATGTAGTGAACGATTAATCAAAAGATATGACGTGTTCAGTACTTAGTGTGATTGGCTGTATGATTGAATTTCCCCCTGATAAATGAACCAATTGTATCCATCCATTTTCAGGTAATTTAAGTAGACACTTCTTGTCAATACCTCACATATGTACATGAAGGCCATTATTTATTAATTGTGTACATAGGCTTTGGAAATGAATGTATATATTTGTCGGATTATTACAATAGATTAGCCGTCTGATTGAAATGAAAGGTGGTACATAATTAGTCAATCCAATTCAATCGTCTAGTACGAATATTAATGATATCAAATGAAAACCGCGCTGTTAATAAATATGTTTCAACATTTAAACAAGCGCTTGTGCTGTTCTGTGTATTATAATATTTCATTACTGGTATCTTACCTGAGGAGACTCCGTTCATCCACCCCATCGCATATGTAAACAAGATATTGGTAACAGGGAAAGGTGGCGTTAGCTGTGCGCTGGAACCAGCCAGTGGGAAATTTCCGGTATGTGTCTGTGCCAGTGTCAGCATGTCAACTATTTGAGAACCGGACGAGTTCTTGCCAAATGTGAGTTGAAAGTTCAGCCATTTTGTCATATCGATGGCGTTAGACATTACAGCGCCCGCTGGCGCTGCCATAAACGTTTGTCTGTGAATAAAGAATTCATAGTGAGTGAACCAAATAAATACGTATTGCTCACACTCAAAATTAAGTCTACTTTTAACGTTGAGGGCGTACACATTGATCGTTCAGTTTGAGACTAAATCAACTTCCAAGATAGTTTTCCTGTATTAAACAGTAATGCGCTCACTTGAATGAATTCTTGTCTACTTTTTGCGCTTTTCCACTTGTGACGTTGAGGGCGTAGGAATCCGCTACGCGGGGATCGTCACTCATATCCACGGCGAATCCAGATGACGTCATTCCCAAAGGTGCGAATAAAGTCTCCTGCACTAGCTCTTCCCAAGTTTTCCCTGTTAGTGTTTCAGCGATGTATCCCGCCAATATATACATGGTGTTACTGTAGAGGAATATCGTTCGAAATGGGTACTGTTCTTCAAAATACTTTAGACGTCTGTGGTATATGATAGAAACAAGCAAATACAGACATTATGTTCGACGTTGGAGGCAGTGTGACTTGTTAATAATCACCACCCAATGGAACATTTTCATTCATATTCATGTTTTGTGAGGCTTGTTAAACTTGTACCAATCTTGTACTCAGTGGCACTTCGTCAAGCGAACGTCGTTCGAAGGTTAACAACGAATTACAAATATGTATATATTTTTTTATCCAAGTGAAATGGACACTCTGGAAATCACAGTTGATGCGAGACTAGAGCTGTACGCGATACTGCGATTTGTCAGTAAGACAGTACTGAACTCAATTGAGCATAATTCTCGTCAGTCAATTCATGGAAAAAAAATATAAAGCGTGTCATCAGGAAATTGTACTATTGTCTTTTAAAACTATCGATGGGTATGCAGCACAATTGTGGATCAGTTGTTTTTTATTGTTATCAGAGGTTACATTGACCTTACAAAATAAACGACCTATACAGAATTAACCTTAGAGGTCGTTCAAAGGTCAGTCCCCTAATGTCACATGATAACACGTATTGGGTAAACATTGAAACGCTCAAATAACATGGATAGATGTAACTTTAATGTTACTCGCCTCATTGCTAGCTGTTCCCTGGTTTCATTCATAGCTAATGCGACCGTAAAAAAAGAATTGTCTTCAATTCCACTTTTAAAACTCATCACATCTCTCAGCGTCATTGTCTGTGTTCTGTAGTCGTCAATCATGCTGAAATCCGCACCCAGTATTTCCCGTACAGGGGTATCCCACGATAACTCCGGCCTCTTACTTAGAATATCTGCCAATATTGAGGACGTAAACGCCTTGGTCATGGACGCCAGTGCAAATATAGTATCTTCTGTGGCTGGTTCACGAGTTTCTAAACTACGTACTCCGTAACCTTTAGTGATCAATGTCTGACCTGTGTCGACTACGGAGAGAATTAGTCCGGGGATGTGTTCGCAATGTTGAATCGACTCGATGAAATTATCAATAAGAATTATATCACCATCTGAAAGACCAACGCCATTAACTGCGCTTATCACGGTCAACACAGTCACCAGCAATGTCAATGACGCTTTCATCGCTAGCACTGTGCAAGGGGGCTGGCAGAAGAAGGGTTACACAATCACTCTGGTTTTTCAAGTCACAAACATAAAGTATAACATCGTACTCGGGCGCTCCTTCCGAAGGCGGGTCACTTCTTGGTCAGGTGATCTGGTCATGTGATGGCATGTCAGCTCATTAACGATCAGTTTATGGTCATTGGATCAAGAATAGTAAACACCGGGGTTTGTTACCCTAACCGAGTTTGCAGGGAATTTTTTCTCTAGTACCCCCCATACCTTCTCCCTTCTAAACAACCAAAATTGAGTATTGAAAATAAATTATATTTCTATATTATTTGCAAAGGATTTTTTATATTGTTCGTGTATGACGTGAGTCGACTTTTATGGCGTGTACAACGGGTTTTAAAGATTTAAAGGCCATTGTCTGCGCACGTGTGCTAATTTGCATATTTTGACAATATCATCCATGATATTTTACTTAACGAAAAACACAGGTCGAATGTAAAACTGGGAAGAGAACAGTGCCCTCAGTAGTAGTATTCAGTTGTAGGAACCATTTAGTGTTTTATGTGTGAAATGGTCATATACCTGTTACATTGCAAATGTAAAATAACAAAGATGATTTCAATTTATCATTATTATTTGTCGATGCCATGGGGTTGAACCTAGCAGATGAGCATGCGCAGGTTTTATGACACGTTTAAGTGAGGACGAACACCGCCACCAAGGATTTTGATGAAGAGTCATGCGCTCTCGAATGATCCTGAAAATTTATATATATATTTTCATATACAGTCTTGACTTCACACTGCATGTTTGGGCTCTGCAGCAAGTAGAACATATACAAAACAAAACTCTAAAATGAACAGAAAAAACAAATATTCTTTAAAAACTGCGCTTAATAATTTGCTATATCCAGAATCCAGAATCGCCCAGTATTTACCATAAGTAACATTTTGCGGAACATCAATTGGTACATTTAATGCTTTATAGAATTATAGAATTTTCTATTTTAGTAACCATGGTTTATGCGACTCATAATCACTTTATTATAATCATCTGCAGATTAGTCACTCTCTCATTTGTCAAGAGGTTGAAACTAAAATAGTCAATGCAATTGTGACTAGTTTGATGTGAAACATTAACATAGTGTTGCTGGATTTACTAACCAGCTACTGGTATCATATGAATGATAGTTTGTAATGTTCTATAACACAATGCTTCCTCCTTATTAATCATACTCAATCATTTAACACTTCTGCCATTATTTTTTATAAAAAAAACAAATAAACATATCGACCTCATTTTTTAGACGATTATATCATATTACATTATATTTTTATGTAAAATATACATTTCGAATCAGATATAAACCCTATAAGATATATACGTTTTAAACTCACTATCGACTGAAGAACGAAACAGATTTTAAAAGATAAACACGTATATGCTTTGCGCACTTACGTATGTATTTTCACCACGTACGAGTTTTTACAGTTACAGTGGTCGATGTTAAACGGCTTAAATATAATAAATATGTAAGAGCCACTCCAAGACTAATTAAAGTACTTCCTACAATTCACTAACAACATATTTTTAATATCGTTCTTTGCAAGAATCTATTAATGGTCTACTTGGTTCTTGTAATTTGACACGCTTCAATACAGCTATCCTATCGTATCAGCGATACCGGTACATGATACAGATGCTTGGTAATGGTCATTCGTGAAACTATCATGATTTATATTTCAGTCAGTTTGACAGTGGTTGTCATGACATATACTGATAAAGGTTAATGACAAGACCAGATGGCGAGCTGGTCGAAATCAACCAAAAACATCTTATGACTCTGCAGTTTTTAAGATACAAGACAGTAGCTGTAATTCTAAACCAATGTTGTTTGCGAGTTTAGAAAAGGTAGTATCTTGGTGGAATGTTAGTGCGAGATTATTACCCCATCAATATTAGTTAGTGTTGACAATGTATAGAAATGTTTTCTCTAGACAGCTTGACGAGTAATTAATTGATTATGATGTGTAAAACTTTCATGTGATTGGTTGTTTGTTGGAAGGCAAGGCCTTGGAGTCTCTTATACTG